TAGCCGATATAGAAACAGTCGCGAATTGTTAGGTCCAAATTATTCTACCTTTATTAATGTTACTGAACTTGGTTCTTATTTACAAAAACCAGGATTTATTCGCTTCACGGAAATATTTAGTTTAGGAACAGTAGGAGAAACTAGAAGTGAATGGTTTAAAGAAAAATTATTGGAAGGAGTATTTTTACATGAAAAGCCTGGTGAAAATTACCAAAAGAAATTGAGCGAGGCTTTCAACACTGCTTCGGTGGGTGGAATTATTCGAAAAGGTTGAAATGAATTGATTATTTCCGAAGTGTTTACCATTGCAATTACCCTTGACCACGCTTCTCATTTAGGAGGCGGAATGTGAATTTATAAGACCAGTCAATTAACTATTGGCACTCAAGGTAATAAATTTACTTGGTTGATGGATCACATCTGTAATAAATTTGGAATATTGAATACACAAGATAGTGGTAAGTGAGTAATTAAACACCCTAGTCAAGATATTAAAGATTATAATCTAGAAATTCCAATGGCTTGGAGAAATAAAGAAAAAAACGGACAAAGACTAGCCGAAGTTCATTATCGCATGTATTCTTACTCTGACCCGAACGGAACTAGCAGAGATAGTCAAGCGGATGAACACTGATGTGATTACTTGATAATCAACAAATTTAGTTATGGAAATACTACCAAAATTACCATTGGACTTCATGGGCATAATATTTATGAAAATAAATCACCAAATCCGGGCAATGTTCCGCCAGCGGGAACTTTACCAGTAAATCCATTGGGCGGAGCGAGAGAAACCCTTAATCCAACCGGACTTCAAGGAACTGTTCCTCCTGGTAGCAATGCCGAAATAATCTTTACTCCTCCTACCGACGGAGGTTTAGGAGAAATAGATGTCAATATTGAAGAAGAAACTCAAACTGAGCCACCGGAAGTTCAACAACAAATAGAAGAAGAAATTCAAGAGCAAACTCAAATCGACACCCAAGATGAAGTGGATGTCCAAACTGGTGAGGAAACAGAAGGTAATAATTAAAGGGTAGAAGGTTCATCAAATTTCTTTTCTCAATCACTTTTTTTAAATCACCAGGCTCAAAATCTTTCTCAACTAAAAGGTTCATCATCAAAATCTCAGTAAGAACTCTTAACTGGATAATGAGGAACTTCTCATTTTCTTTCCCCGGACAAAGGTTTAAAAAACTCCGGATAGTTTAAACGAAAAGAACATTCCGGATAATCTTGCTTATGACCTTTTTCTTGTCCACAAAATTGACAAATTCATTTATAGGTAATTAAGGGATAAGGTTCGGTGGAGTCATATTCTTTTTTATCTCATAATTTACCTTGGACAAAAGGCGCTTTAATTAAAGGGTCGATATATCCTTTACTTTGCCCATGAATTTTGCTTCAATGTTGAAAATTATAGTGATGATAACCACAATGACATTTAAAATCGATCATTTTAACTAAATTTTAAAATTATCTTATATATGACTGAAACATCAATTGATTTACAAACTCAATGTGAAATCTGAAAAGCCAAAGCCGAAACCTGAGAAAAGGCCTTTGAATTAGTGTTAAATAGTAAAGCGCAAACAAAAACTTCAAGTAAACCTCTACTAACTTTAGACCTTTCAGGAACTACTGAAACTGGCATTTATCCTAACTTAAATAATCAACTCCAAGAAAAGAAAATTATTGATTATATTACTCTACAAAAAATTAATTTCCACTTTTAATAATTGTTAAAATAATATATTATGGTTAATGCTCAAGAATGATTGGATGAGAAATATCCAAAAGGAAAAAGAATAATTAGTGAAATCTACCTTAATGAACCAAGTTTAGAGGGTGAATTAGATTTAAGTGATTTTACTTATAAAGCTTCGTGAGGTGAGGGTATAAAAGTCTATATTTCCTTGACAGTTGACCTCAACCAAATAAAAATAAAGAACTTACCTGAGCATGGTAAGGTTATTAATTTAGTCTCAGCCCAAGCCTGATTAGACCAACATTATCCTAAAAATGGAGTATGTCAATGAGAAGAAAATCATTGAAACCGAGGCAAAACCAGAAGTGAAGTTGCTGAGTTAAATATTGGTTATCAAAACTTCGAAGGAACCCTAGACCTTTCTGATTTTGTGAATTCAAAAAAAATAAGATGTTGAGGTAATAAACTAACCTCTCTCAATCTTAGCAATTGCTCCCAACTAGAAGAAATTGAATGTCATATTAATCGACTCACTAGTTTGGATGTTTCTAAAAATAATAAACTTGCTGAACTAACTTGCAGTAATAATCGACTCACTCAACTTAGTTTACCAACCAATCCTACTAATTTAAAAACATTAATTTTAAGTAATAATAACTTCCCGCCCCAAGATTTATCTTTTTTAGTTAGGGCTGTTAATTTAGAAACGCTTTGATTAGCAAATACCCACTTCACTGGTTCCTTAGAATATTTAAGCGAGATGAGGGAATTAAGAAAACTTAATATTAGTGATACCGATATAGACAGCGGTCTAGAATATTTGCCCGATAGTCTAGAAGAGTTTTATTATTCTATGTTTCCAGTAGGTGAAAGACCGAATGCTAAATGCCAAGTTTTTGACAACATCCTAAAAAATGTAGAAGGAACCAATTTTTCTGATAAACTTAAAATTTATAAGCAGAAGAAATTAAAAAAAGAAATTCAGTTAGTAGAAGCTAGATATCGAAGAATAATAGCAGACAAAGAACAAAGAATTATTGAATTAGAAACTAAACTACAAAATATTCGAAAAATAGTTCAGGAAGAACAAGTTGCTCAAATAGCAATGCCTCCCAAAGGCAACAATTAACCCAAATTCCTAAAATAAAGCGGAAATTAATTTTTTGTAGAGTAATATATTATTAGTTTTAATTTAAGTCGGACACAAGGGGGC